GTGTAGGGGTGTGAGGGAGTGACTGTGTGTGTGTGGACATAAGTGGGTGTGAGTGGGAGTGGAGGTGTGAGTAGGGCTGTAGAAATGTGAGGGGGTGTGGACGTGTGTGGGTGTGAGTGGTGTGTGTGGTGGGAGCCGGGGGGGGTGTAGGACTGGGGGTGGGAGGATGTGAGGACGGGGTTGTGTAGACATGTGAGCGGGTGTGAGTGGGGCTGTAGGAGTGTGTGTGTGGACATGTGAGTGGGGGTGGGGCTTGGAGGCCAGAGGAGCCGAGTACATGGGGACCCAAGGGCATCTTAGCCCCCTGCAAAAATAAAAGTTGGTGCATGTGATGGGGGTGTAAGGGTTCGAGTGTGTAGGGGGAGTGCGTGCGAGTGCATTGGAGGTGTCCCCTCGCCCGCTCGCCTCCCTGGCTGCCCAGAGACAAGCGATCGCCCTCCTGGCAGGACAAAGGAGCAACATCATCTCCTGCAGTCTCTGTCCTGTGCCTTCCTGCTCCCTGATCTGTCCTCGCTGGGGCTGTGCCACCAGCTGGGAAATAAACCAGGTGCCCTTGGCATCCTCTGTGTCACGTCCTCCCGCGGTTTCACAATCAAATGAGGTTTCTGGCCTGGCAAAGATCTCCCCACGGCAGAGCATCTGTGCAGCCTGCTCCCTTGGCTGCTGTGCGAAGAGCCTAGCCTGTCTGTGGATGACTGCCACAACTGGAGTTCAAATCCTTCAATACTGTCGGTCTTTTTTAAAATAAACAAGCATTCGATACTCAAAATGTTTCACAAGTGACTTTGAATCATTCCTATTGCTTTGTATAAGACCCAATGGGGAGCATAGGATCAAAGGAAAGCAGGGCTGGAAGGGACCTCATGTGGTCCTCTAGTCCGGCCTCCTGTACAAGACAGGATCAACCCTGACTAAACCGTCCTGGCCAAATGTCTGTCCAACCTGCTCTTCCAGGATGGAGACTCCATAACTTCTCTAGTTATGGTCTGAGGCTGACCACCCTCACAGCCACAAAGTTCCTCCTTATCTCCAGCTTCAGTTCCCTCTGCTGCACCTGGAGGCCATTGTTCCTCATCCTGTCCCCTATGGCCACAGAGAAAAGCCCATCTCCATCCTCGCTGTAATTGCCCTTCAGGTGTTTGAAGACTATTATCAACACCCCCCTCAGCCTTTTCTTCTCCAAACTAAATAAATAAAAGCAATCCAGTAATTGCAATCAATTTAATACTATTTTAATTCTCTGTCCAGGGCCCTGGGGGTGGCCTGTACATGGACCCCAGCACCACATTTACAACTGTGAGGTAAGTTGGAGGTGGGTACAGCCAAGGGAGGTCTTCCCTGGTCTTCCCTGCAGTGGAGCTGGTAGTGTATGGGGATGCCTTACAGCTGTGAATTGGTTCCAAGGGTCCCTTGACATGTCAGCTCTTGTCCTCCTGCTTTCCATGCCTCGCCTGCCTCAGCTGAGCTTCTCTCCCTATGTTTGACCCAAGTACATGAAGGAAGAACCAGAATGACAAGCCAGAGCTGGCAACAGGGAGTCTGAAATGAAGCCGCCTTGATGAAGTGTCTGAAGATCCATCACGTCTACCCTCTCTGGGTCTACAGGCCACCAGGGAAGACTTGGCAAACTGGTGGAGGGACTTGTCAGAAAAAGATAGTCACGGTCAGCTTGGGGATCGGTCCAGACCAGAACTGGACACAGGCATGGGCTAACTGGGTGGCCGCCCAGGGCCCGGAGAGAAAGGGGGCCCAAAAATGGTCATTTTTTTCTATTGTCCAATTATTATTATTATTGTCTCTAGCAAAGCAGGGCCCAATACTAAAAGTTTGCCTGGGGCCACCAGGAATCTAGGCACAGTACTGCTCCAGTCCTACGCCCTACACCCTTGGCATCTGCCTCCCCTTGAATTTCCCATACAGCTGGTTTGTTGCTCAAACCAAAAGTGGAAATTCACCCTTTGTTCCCCCTGGGCCATGTGGCACCTCACTGAGATCTCAGAATCCCTCTAACCATCACAGGGTGAAGTCATTGCCCTTGGCCCCACATGGCCTTGCCTGCCTTGCTCGCTACCAACAGAAGTGACATTTATGCACTGAGATAATTGGGTGCTGTCTTTCCGTTAGCAGCAAATGGAGCTCCCTTGGAATGGAGCTTGTTCTCAGGCCCCAGGCAGGAGCTGAATCGAGCTGATGGCAAGTTTGGCACTGACACGTCACCCACTGCTGATCACTGGCTAATCTCAGTGTCCTTTGAATGACACTCTGCAACTGGCTTTGTGTGGAGAAGTAATGACTTCATATCAACCAAGCAGCAGTGCTGAGCTGGGCGCCCCATGGTACATGTTTGCTTGCCTGGATTTTCTCTCTTTATTTCTAAGAGACGAACTCTGGACAAGCTAGATAGAAAATGGGGGGAGAAGAGGCTAGATCCTCCCAGAAAATTCATTTTTGACTCAACAAATGCACCAGAAACAATGCAGGCATGACTGAGGTATATTGAGTTTTTATTTAAATCCTACTTCACAAGAAATGACATTCGCTAGCATTTTATCTTTTCTTACAAATTTTTTTCATTTTATTAAATACCATGTTAAATATAAAATACTGATTTCACAAGAGCGGGTGGTGTAAAATACGAGACATTAAAAAATCACTCAGAAAACCTCATTCACAGATGTCCTAAATGTTATGAGTCATTAAAAGTTAGTATAAAAGATTATCAGAATCAGGTAACCCTGGGCTGGGCCAGAGAAAGCTGTATAAAATGCAGGGAGGTCTGCAGCTTGTCCTCCTTGGCAAATCTGGGACCATAGGCAGGAAATCTGAAGCCAGGGGCAGGATTTTCGAAAGTTAAAGGGACAAGTAGGTTCTCTGCTCCCATGGTCGGACCCTGGGAACTGGGCACCATTGTGCAGCTATTGAATCTCCCCCTTGAGATTCAGTCTCGACCAGCAAGACTGGATAAAGCGTTCTTGGTAAGGATGAGTTAGCCTCCCTCCAAAGCCACCATTCTCTGTCTCTAGGCCACTTTACCCACAAGGGCTTGTAAGGGGAAACCTCTCTCCACTGCCCCAATGTAAAATAGTGGCTAGAGGTTGTCTTCATTCAGCTATGTAGCAACAAAACTTAGCAGGCTGCTGAGAGCCAAACCCTGGGATAACATTTTGGGGTGAAATACCCCAGAACGTGGCTCTTTAGGCAGCCCAAGCTCATTCTCTCCAGTTTCGCTCTCTGTGCCCATGGTCCCAGGATCCAGCATCCTGATGGAGCCCATTTAACAGTACCAAAGGGCAAGGCACCCAGGCCAGCCTGGGATGGAGGAAGGTGTGGTGCAGGGGCCAGGGGGTAGCAAAGCCAGGCGGGTAGGTTTCCACCCTCACCTACCTCCTAGCAGGATGGGTCTTCACCAGGAGAAGACCTGAAGTGGGGACCATCTCCTGGGAGGTTGGGGGGCTGGGGGAGGGCAGGGGCAGTGCGACACGCTGGGTAGGCAACATGTCGATTAAGATGGGAAGTGAAAAAATGACAGACGAGGTACCAAGAACCCTGCTCAGCGCTGCCCCTAGCCCTGCCCACCCCGTTCATGTACTGCCTCTTCCAAATCCGGTGCAAATTCTGCCAGCTGAGGGGTCACTCGTGTATTTGCCCAGCAGAGGAAATCAGGGGCTGGGCTCTACACTACGCCCCTCTCCTAGGGAGCTCTTTCCCTATGGCATTCAGCTAAGGAAGGGAAAGGAGGAAAACCATGGTGTGCTTGACCTGCTACCCTCAGAGGCAGCTCCGAGAGTCCAACCAACGTCCATGAATGGACCACCTATTTTAAAGGCAACTTCAGGCTCATTCACAATCAAAGTCCTCAGTGCTTTGAAAGCCCGGGGCACTTCCAGAGCGCGTTAGCCACCTGTCTCCACATCAGCCCTGTGAGGTAGGTCAGTGTCACTCTCCCCTGTTACCCTGGGGAAACTGAGGCACAGATCGGATAAATGACTCACTCAAGACCACAGAGCGAGTCATTGGCAGAAGCAGCAATGGGATCAGGAAGGCCCTGCCTCCCTGGTCTGGGCTTAGACCACACCTCCCTCTGCCATCCCTGACCCACCAAGCCCCTGAGGCTTTGCCAGGTGGCAAGAATTCAAAGCAGTCAGGGCCTGGCAGGGACACGCAGAAGGACGCGGGGAAGAAGCAGCCATCCAGCACCATGTTTCAGCTCCCCCTCATGAGCAAAGATGGGCTCCAAACTCCAGATCCCATGGCCGTGGATTGGGCCCATCTCTTCTCTCGCTGTCCCTCCTAGCACAGTGCAGTGCAGGCTGGCTTTCCCATTCAGATTCACAGCAAAGAGCCCCAGCAGAGTGAGTTTCTGCAGCCCTCCCCACACTTTTCAACCACTGGGAACAGCCCCTGTCTCTTGTGAGATGTTTCTAGTAACCACCTGCCCACTCAGCCCCCTCTCCAGCTCCTCTGGGGAAAAATGCATATGGCACCAGAGCCACTAGTGGGGGGTTTCCTTCCATTTCTTGGAGTGAAGGAAGCAAATCCTGCTTACGTTTCTGCTAGGACACATGGGCTAAACAGTGACACCGGGAGAAGCATGTGGCCATTGCTGGCCTGGCGTGGTCTGCCTCCCCAGGGGTAAGGCACTTGAGTCTCTTGTGTCCCTGTGGTTATATCCCTGATTTCCTCCCCCAGCGTTCCCATCACCGGAGCATGTCCACACCAGTGGCTGCGCAAAGCAACTCCCTCAGCCTGACGTCAAGCAGGTGGATGTGGTGTGATGGTGTCTGGAGCACAGTGCATCTACCCTGGACACCCCTCAACTCTCCATAGAGATCCATCCCTCGGGTAATTTCATGGATGCTAGCCCAACCCCAGGGACCGACCCATGAGTAACCCAAAGTCTTGGCATACAAGCTCTGGCTTTGGGAGGTGAGTAGACTCTTCCAACCAACACTCCTCCCTCTTTCAACTCAAGGAGTGACTTATCATCCAGGGAACCTTTCTTGGACCCAGCTCTGCTTGGGGCTGTCAGATGCTCAACACCTTCCCACGTCCGCCTGAGACTCCTGCAGCCTGACTGCTCTGTGACTACTCCCCTGAGGAGCAAAGGGGTGGCAAAAGCCATGCAGGCCTCTTGCAGACATCTAGGGGGGTGATGCTTTACCCTCCAGACCTGTGATACGATGCAGCTTCTGTATCTGCCCAGCCTGAGACAGCCCGTGGAAGCAAGCCACATGCAAAAGGACAGAAAGCAGATCAGCATGGACAAATACATATGCTCACCAGAGCAACATGGAGCAGGAAGCAAGTGCTGGTCCCCTGCCAACAGACACAAATTCCTCCAGCATAGCTAGACTGCAGTGGTTGTGCTTTATCAAGTAACGCCACTTGCCCATTGACCTTCTCAAAGCATCACTCCCTTGAACAAGAAGCTACCAGGACCACCGCCAGCATTTCACCAGGCACTTTCTAGACTCTCCTTTGGAAAAAAACCCATTACTTTGTCTCTATAAGGGCCCAAGCAACAGGAACTGAGGGCGCTACACACCTCCTGGCTCAGGCCACGAAAGAAGCCGGGGATAGAGAATAGTGGCTGTACACCCCTAAAAGGCTCCAGCCTGGTCAAATGGACAGAGCTGCCTTGGTGATTAACCCATGAGAGTAGCTGAGGTATTCCAGGCCTTCCCAAGCATTTGAAAGCAGAGCTAACAAGCGATTCCTTCAGGAAAGATGCAGAGCCCTGAAAGCCCTCGCATCCAGTGATGAGGCTGCTATCGCAAGCCTAAATTCAACTCGGGTGATGATCACGTTATAATCATGGGCAGGTCTGGACTGAAATCCTATCTGCTGCCCTCAGCTCAGAAGGAAACCAAATTCTGGTCCTTATTACCCTGCTTTCAAAAGATCAGTCCCCACAGGTGGTGATTTGTTCAAAAACTCGCTGCCCCATAGCTGGGGAAAACGTGGATTCGGGGCATTCGGAGGTCCGAGTCAATGCTCATTCCTTTTATACCGGCGGAGAGTCATGAACCGCCTCCACACTGAAATCATGCCAGGAGGCTGAACAAGTGCAGAGTGGATCATCTGACACTGATCTGCATGTCCTGCATGCCCAGACCTGTGCAAAGCACTGGGCAGAGCTAAGGGGAGCCCAGGACAGAGACAAGGACCCAAAGAAGTCTTGGCCCCTAGAAAGCTCCTCATTCCTTAATGACTGCTGCCCCACCAGCTTTCTGCCAACCAATCCTCCCCAAGGATTGCACAGCTATACATGTACTCGGTAAGGGGCTAGCACCTGCACAGGGCAGTGACCGGAGCTGCAGACATGCAGTAAAGCCAGAGGTTCCCCGCTATGATATGCAACAGCCTCTTTATCCTTGCCCTGCTCAATTCTCTGTTCAGAGCGGAGCATTTAAAACAGCGCCCTTCGATCTCTCAGCCTCTTCCCCCTCAGTGGGCCCGACCTGCAGAGGGTGAAACAGAAGAGGTGGCTTGGGGAGCAGTAAGGGTTCTCCAAAAATCAGATACAAATCTAAGCCATAGAGAGTCTGGAGCAAGCCCCAGTCGAGCCATCGAGCCATGGAGCACGCAGAGGGAATACACACAGCTTAGGGATACTGCTCCCCAGTTTCTGGAGCAGCTCTAAGGAGGTTTATGTTGCTACGTGATCCAGCCTCCCTCCGACTGAGCAAACTCTCCAAATGGGAATCTCACTCTTGAACCACCACTGGAGCCTGACACAGAGGGAAAAGCAAAGTGCATCCTACAGAACAGGCTTACAGGGGACCACGGGCTCCAGTCTACATGGAAAGTATAAAGCGGTACACTCAATCCTGGCTGAGACAAAAGGTTTTCCAGAGCTCGGAGACTCCAGGGAGCCCTGGAATAGATTCAAGTTTCAATCCTGCGTAAGGCTTTGTTGACATGGGGCCCTCCGATCAAGACTTGGTTTTATATGCAGATCATTGCTGAGCAAACCCCAGTGACGATTGCTTTTCAAGCCCTGGGGTGGCAGCTCAGATCTGCTCCCTTCTCCCTTCCCCACATGCCCAGATGAGGTATGGCAGCCGTAGAGAACCCAATGGAGAAGTCTGATGGCTCCAGGCCACCTCTGGAAACTTGTTCAGTTGGTCTTTGGCTGTCCAAGCCTGTCTGAGAGCAGATGGGCTGCAGGGATAGCCACCTCTATACAGGCAGGGGCATCACCCTGAGCTGGTTTGGTGGGGGCTTGTGCGCTTTATTTAAGGCTGTGCCCTGCAGCAGCCTTGGAGTACAAGGGGATTCATTCATTTTTAGTGCTGTTCTGGCTCTGTTAAGTGAGTCCTTCACTACCCACCTCCTGCTTCTCAGACCTGGGGGAATAGGGCAAAAGGTAAACCCCAGGGCACAGAGACCAAACCCCAGCAAGAGACACTCAGCATGTTCTGGGCTGCCTCTGAAGTGACTCTTTGTCTGACTCCTAAACTACACCCAGCCTTTCTGGCTGCCATTGATGCAACCGAACCGGAGCCTTAGCAATCCCCGGCTCTGATTTTCCCAAATGCTGAGTAGCTGCAACGAACCCAGCATTTAACAGCAGCGCCCAGTGCTCAGCGCTTGAGAGGTCAGGTTGCTGGGTCTAGCCGCCCAGGCAGGTGCATGCTGGTGTCCACCATTGGCACTCCTTTATCACCTGAGTCTCTTAGGAGAGACAAGAAATCCTCCTACAGGAGAGCAGGGAGGACCAGAGGTCTAGACCCTTACACATCCTTCCTTGTGGATCCATACAGGGAAGAGGGTCCTGTGGGAACCTGCATGGAAATGTGGCCCTGGACCAGGAGCTCTCTCCTCTGCATACAGAGGCCTGTGCTTGGGGCAGTGGAGACCTCTCTTCTCCATGCGGCAGGGAAATGGGAAATGAAAACAACATTGGGAGCTGCTCATGCTCTGGCAGATAATCACATACAGCAGCTGTGTTTAAATCAGGATACCAGCCCCCGTGCCAGGAGACCCAACCCTGGGGCTGAACTTGGCCACTCATCCTGCAGAGAGGCCCCTTTCCCTACTTCCCTTCACAACTGGCCAACATGCGTCAGCATGTCCCAAAACAAGGTTTTTGCCCTATGGCTACAGACCATAGCTCTTTTCCTGCTCCTCGGCCTTCAGATGGGCTGACTTAAAGTGGAAGTGTGGTCCTCCCACGGTTCAATGCAATGGGTTTCTCCACGCCCATCTCTAGCTACAGCAGTTGGCGGTGCTGCTGACTTGCATAGTGTGGGGGGAAGAGCCAGCCCTTTTGGAGAAACCCTTAAAATGACCCCCACCAGTTGAGAGACATCGCTGCGTCTTGCAGGTCTCGTGTCTCCAAAGGGGTCACACTCCCTGGTCAGCATAAGAGCCCTGTTTAAGCAGGCATCCCCTTTGCACTCCACCTGGGCACTCACTAAGGTGGGCAATGATCCCTGCACATCACAACCGGATCCTGCTGCTGGCCCCTGGTGTCCAGCACCCATTTCTCCTGTCCGTTTCCAGGCCTCACCTACCTCCTAAATCCCCCACGGGAACAACCTTTTATCTGACAGCAGCCTCTGCCCTCAAAAAGCAGCTAGAGGCTCCAGCAAAGCGTGCTGCAGAGGCTGGGTCCCTGTCCAGTGAGAGGAGGTGGAGACAGAGTTCCCATGGGGGGGAGAGTTCTTGAGACGGCTCCAGACCACGTGAACAAAGCCTTCCTGCAATCCTCCCTCGTTCCCTGGGAAGAGCTTGCAGTCTTCCCACCCCTCCGGTACACCCAGGGATGGTTCCTTTCATTATGAAACCTTTGCCTAAAGAATAAACAATACACAAGGTTAAGATCTGTTTAAAATAAACCTTTCGTCCGCGCGAGATCAGCCGGAGAAGGGAACTGGGGAACCCTGCCCATCAGGGAGCAGGTGATGGGGATGGCTTTCCAGCAGGAGTGGAGAGACTGCGGCTTCTTGGGAAGACTCCCCCCCGCGTGCCGCTTGGCGAGTGCAATGTCCTTAAGGCACCTATCGGGATGTTCTGGCCTCCGTGGTGTCCGGCCGGTAGAGATACCTCCAAATGGCGTAGTAGTGGATGCCAGCTCCAATGGCCACAAAGAGGTGCCAGATGGCATGGGCGAAGGGAATGCGACCATCACTCTTGAAGAACACCATGCCCAGGCAGTAGAAGAGGCCACCAGCCACCAGCTCCAGGAGCCCATCTCTGTTAGGCTGTGGGCAAGCACAGAGGTACCATTCAGCTACGTGGGAGATGAACGGATCCCACCCTGGGGCCTTTTCCTGAGACTGCAGGTGAGACAGAGCTGCACAAGCAATGGCTGAGAAGGGCGAGACAGTCCTGTTGTCTCTGGTGGATTTCCATCCTCCTCTCCAGCAGATATTATTCCCCTCAGCATGAAGAAGGCCACCCCAGGAGCCCAAGCAGAGAAACCTGATGCCACAGCTGTGTCGTGCCAAGCTGTAGGCCCTTGAAGCACAGATTTGGGTGGTAAGAGCCATGCTGAGAGCCCAGTGCAAAGTGCCCAGATAAAGCGCTTCTGCTCAGACAACTGAGCTCTATCTCTTTGTCCCCGCGACCCTCAGCATCCACACAGAGCAGCCTCTGAGGCAAAACCCAGGAGCCACTGAACAGCAGGGAGCAACTCAAGATGAGCCACTCCAGATGTGGCCCAGGCACACGGAGGTGAAGGGGCATGCATGGAGCAGAGTAGCAGCAGCTTACCATGGAAAGGATCACCAGGGCAGGGAAGAACCCCATGATCACATAACACACCAGCTCCACCAGCTTGTACCTGTGGAGGACAAAGACACCTTCACTGGTGGTGCAACACCAAGGGAGCAACTTAATCTTATGCCTTAAAACCCAGGGGTCCAGGCTTGGGGAGCCAGGAGCAGGCTTGAAGCTGGGATGCAAAGGAGACAGCCCCAAGGAGTTTGCTCACAAGCCTGGGATGCCCAGATAGGCTCTAACTACAGGGACCTGGATCTTTTGCAGCCCTCTTTTTCACCCCAGCCCCTTATTTCTCTGCTCTCCACCCCCGCCTGGGGCTTCAGATGCTTCCAAATATTTTGGCAGGCATCCTATGTGCAGGCCCAAGCCCAGAGGCCATATAGCCATAGCAGCAAACTAGAGAGGAATCTCCTATTTCCATAAAGTTAATGTATAGCCAAGATCTTCCCACTGGAAGTGAAAGTGGCA